CGGCGGAGCACATCGCGGCGTTTGAGGTGCTGCTGCGGGAGCTGGTGGCGGCGGCGCAGCCGGAGGCGCTGAGCGACGAGAGCGTGGTGGCGCTGCTAGTCGAGCGTCACGCGGGCGCGGTGGCGCACGCGGGGCTGGCGGCGGCGATCGCGCTGGCGGAGGCGGGGGAGGAGGCGACGCCGCTGGAGCGCATGATGGGCGAGATGCGGCGGCGCGTGGAGGTGGAGCTGGAGTCGAGGTGGAACCACAACCTACTCCAGCTTGCTCACGCGTCGCACCTGCGCGAGCCGCTCGAGGTGGCGTCATGTCTAAGCGCGAGAGAGGCGTGCTCTCTGCTTGTGCTCGCCTCGGAGCTACGCCCCGTACCCGTACCCGTACCACCGTGGTTCGGCGCCGCCGCACGGTGTGTCGCCGCTGCGATCGAGCAGCTCGTCCCGATGACGCGTCTGGCTGCAGCTCTGCGCACCGAGCTTCTCATCGCGATCGCCGAGACTGCGTGCCGAGTTGCTAAGCCGCTCGAGCGAGCCATGGTGCTGGGGAGCGACCTGGTGCGCGGCCTGGCGCGACCAGACTGTGTCGATAGACTCATCCGCGGCGGACGCAAGTCGACACAGGCTGCCTTTGACTTGCGGGCCCTCTCGGACCGCCGCATTGAGCGGATGCAGTGCGGAGCGTTGTTGCAAGAGCTCGACGCCGTGGGCAGCGGCTTCGCTCCGGCCGTGTGGGGCGTGCCGGAGGACCGCGTGGCCCCTGCGCTGCGGTGCCTCGAGGCGGACGCGACACTCACCTCCGGTGACGTCGATTCGCTGCACCCGCTGCTCGTGGCTCTCGCACGCGGCGCGCAGCGAGTGAGCGCCGCGGTTGCACAGAGGCGGCTGAACGAGCCGACCGAAGCGATGGCGCTTGCGGCGGAGCTGGCGGCGGAGCTGCTGCCGGGGCTCGTCGCGCTGCTCGACGAGCGACTGGGGCTGATGAAGCTGCGGCAAGAGCTGCCAGCGTCGCCGCCGTCGCCGCTGCTGCCGGCGGGGCCTCCTCCAGGGTTCCGCGGCAGCTGGTGGGACCACTTGCACGTGATTCGCTGCGGGGCCACGCCGACGACCGCTGAAGCCAAGAGAAGCCGTCTCGAGAAGCTCAAGCGTCGATCTGAGGAAGTCGTGCTGCGCAGTGCCGCCACTTCGACCTGTGGCAACGGACCTTTCGCCCTCATTGGAGCCATCGTTTGGTACGAAGAGGAGGATGAGCACGGCAACTTCTGGCTGGTCGGGGTATGCGCGTCAAAAGGGCCGCGGCACCACTATGCGTTGCACCACCACGCCGAGCGCAATGCGCTCCGCTTGGCGCGCGAGTACATTGAAAGTGCTCGAGCGGCAAAGCGCACGGCGCGCCCGCTGCTCGCCGTCACCTCGCTGGCCCCTTGCAAGTGGTGCGGCTCCTGTGTGGATCGCGCACCGCTCTTGCATTGCATTTGAACGCCCATCTTTGAGCGCTCTGTCTCGTAGGTGCCACGGCGCACTCGGCCGCGCTGGGTTCTGCGAGGAGGAGGGCTCCGTGCACGTGTGCTGCGCGCCCTCGAGCGGCTGGCCACGGATCAGCTACCGCAACACGCCCTTCCTCCTCGGCTACAGCTGCTATAGCTGCGCGGGCGAGAAGGTGCAGGAGCTCGCATGCAACGTGCTCGATGGCTCGCGAACTCTGACCGCCGCCGGCGAGTGGGAGCAGGATGTGAGCCTCTCCCGGCCGTTTTTCGAGCCGGCCAGGCCGATGCCGCCTAGGGCGGCGCTCGAGCTCGCCGAGGCCAGTGCCGCGCGGCCCCGCGACGTCTGGACAGACGACAAGTGGGCGTGCATCGGCTACACTTCCGCAGCGTGGATAATGTACACCAACGTCGACGACGCGCAGCTGCAGGGGTTACTCACGTCGATCCAGACGAGCGACGGCGAGGGCCAGCTGCCGCCGCTCCCCGCCCACAACTGGAACATTCTTCACGCCAAGCCGCTGCTGCTAAAGGAGTGGGCGGATGCGGTCGTCGCGGGCTGCGGCGTCACGCCCTTCGCGAGCGGCTCTGCCAAGAACACCTCCGCACGCGGCGTCCACGAGCACGCCGAGGAGCACGCGGTCAAGGCGGCGCTGGCGACCGGCGGAAACTTCCTCACTCTCTTTGTCACGCGAGAGTCGTGCACCGAGACAATGGCCGACGGCATCACCCGCCGTAGCAAGCCATGGCACCCCTGCGGGGGGAAGACGTGCGTGCCATGCGACACGCTGCTGCTGAACCTTGCCGCCGAGGGAAAGACCAGCGTGCTGCTGGTCGACTCCCTCCTCTCGAGCGGCGGGAGCGGCGGGAGGGTCCGCCTCGCGCGGATCGGCGAGACCGCATGGAAGTCGTACGGCCAGACGGCAGCCCTGCGCCTCGGCACGGCCCCGTCGCCGGTCGAGCGCGATGCGCCGCGTCCGCGCGAGACAACCGAGGAGGCGCTCGCGCTGCAACGCGACCTGCGCACGATGCGGGAGGCAGGGTGTATTCCTGTACCGCGACGGTGAAGGGTACCCTTATTCGCAGTAGCCATTGAGTGTAGATGAAGTTCTGTGCATACTGAGAAAACGGCAGTCGGGTCGCAAAGGTCACCGTCAGCTCCCACGTGCCGCGCTCTAGTAGCGCTGGCAGTGGAGTCGGAGGTGTCGACGGCGGCGGAGGTGACGACAGCAGCGGCGAGGGCGGCTGTGGCGGCGGTGACGGCGAAGCAGAAGGCGGCGGCGGCGAGGGCGGCGGCGGCGAGGGCTGCGGCGGCGAGGGCGGCGCTTGACACGGCGGCGGTGGTGGCTGTCGAGGGCGGCGGCGGCGAGGGCGGCGGCGACGCGGCGGCGGTGGCGGCCGGAGGGCGGCGGCGGCGAGGGCGGCGGTGACGCGGCGGTGGCGGCTGGCTGGAGTGGGCGGCGGCTGCAGAGGGTAGCGGTGCCAACGGTGGTGGCGAGGACGGTCGCAGCGAAGGTGTTGGTGGCGACGGTGGCAGCGGCGAGGGCGTCGGTGCTGCCTGGGTGTTGAAGTGGCACGCCTGGCTGGTGGCGAGGGCGGTGGCGAGGGTCGGAAGTAGAGGTGGCAGGAGGAGGCGGTCCGAGGCAGCCACCGCCGTTGCCGCCATTGCCGAGGGTGGCTGCGTAGGAGAGGTGCAGCTTTGGCGAGGCGGTGGTGATGCGTGCGCGCCGAGGGTGAGGGCGAGGTCGGCGGCGTAAGGGTAAAGGCGGCGGCGCTGACGGTGTGCGTACAGAGAGGACAGCGACGGTGAGGCGGAAGAATCGCTCACGGGCGTTGGCGACTGCAGGGACACAGGCAATGGCAATTAGGAGAGTTGAGGCCGAGATTGAGCAGCGTTTTGCAGTGTGAGGAAGCCAGTCACCTGCCGACGCCGACGACACGTGGACGACACGTCAACCTCAAAATAAAATATCGCAAGCCGAATACCCACCCAGGCACTTACCCCTCTTCTTAAAATCCCTGTGTGGTGGCGGCGTGCCGTCCTCCCATCCCTCCCTTGGGTTGTCTGTTTTCTTTCTTTCTTTCTTTACTTACACACAAAACACACACCACCATCGACTCTACCTCCGACCTCAGGGCCTAGGCGGCCCGCCATGTCCCATGATATCTGCCGTGTGTGCTGGCGTCCGGGTCCCAGCGGGTTTTCACGTAACAAGTACACATCTCTCTCCAAAGGCGCTCACCGCAGCTTCCCTACGTCTCGCGCGTGATCGCGAAGCGCAGTACGCACGCGCTAACGACACCGCCGCGATGTCTGTGCTGCGATGATATTTGCTGGATTGAAGAAGAAGCAAGTTAGAAGCAACTTCGTGACAACATAATGACTTCGGCGGGCGCCCAGCGCGCTGACTTATGACGTCCGACCCGTCAAATAAACACGCACGGTTAGGAGCCCTGGTCGTGAGTACCCTGGTCTCAGTCGGCAAGCGGCATCATGATTGAGTATTCGTACTCACGAGTTCTTCTAAGCTCGATTCAATTCCCGATTCCGTGAGTACTCCTCGATGTGGTTTACGTCCCAAACGCGCTGACCGCTGTCAGACTTGACCCACCGCTGAGCGCTGTTGCTCCAGCGTTTTGCACATGCCACCAAGGAACAGACATGGCTAGCCTCGGCACGCAGACTCACCTATCGGGACGCAGACTGGTTCTGGGAGACCAAGAGCCGAGAGCCGAGAGCCGACGGCTCGGAAACAATGAGAGCCATTCGCTAAGCAGGCAACGTTGATGTCCCTGTGAGCCGACGCACGTGAAAGAAACGGCACTCGAGCCCAAGGAGAGCAATGCTCAAGAGAGTTGCGTCGCATTGGCCCCGCGACTTCTGTGCACTGCACCGAGCTAAGCGCCTACAAATCCCTCCACTTTGTTCGCTGCAGGCATATGCGAGAAGCAATGCTTACTGCGTTGTTGGCGCGGCAGCAGTGCTGGCCTCGGCGGCGTACACGGCGGCGGTGTACTTATTGGTGGTGCGAGGCTGGATCTGCGAGGCAGGCACGCTTGGATCTCTCTGCATCAAAGCCTGACTCGTATTGGAGCATCGCACACGAGTTGCCTCGAGAGCGTCTGCTCAGATCTTGAGCCCGCAATGCGAATCGGATTGATAGACCTTCGATTTCGGGGCTCCGACGGCGGGGTCGCACCACTCGCGATTGCTTCATTGTTGCAGAAACGGTTGAAATGGTGCACCGTTCGGTGTTTGTCGTGTGAGTCAGTGTCGATCAAAGCCCTGTTTCGTTCGCGCGGGCGTGCTTCACGTTGAGATAAGAATTTTACATGAAGGTTGAAAAGATTTTTCAGTGTATGAAGCTCTTACGAACATACCCGAGGGTGGACTGCTGACAGGGTTTGCGATGAGGAGCGATCCGAACGTGGTATTCGGGTGATCAGATCACTATACCGCCGAAGCGCAAGCAAGCGCTTGGAGCAAGAGAGCTGCGACGTATCGGTCTCAGACTAGCACCCCACCTCACTGGCCGATCTTCTGGCCCAGCGAGGCGGCTGCGGAGCACTCGCGGGCCGATTTTCTGGCCCAGCGAGGCCGTTGGCGTTGCGGGGCACCCGGCGGCTCGGTTCGCTCATCAAGCGCAAACTCGGTCGAGCAGAAAGTAAGGTGTGTGAGTAAAGGCGGCGCGGCACGGTAGGGTCGGCGGTAAGGTGGCGCGGCGGCGACAGATGGCAGGCAGGGCGGCATTGGATGGCGGGCCAAACGGCATGGCGGGCGCGGCATTATAGGGGCGGCGGTACGACGGCACTGCGGTGGCGGGCTAAATGGCAAGGTCGGCGCGGCACGGAGGAAGGATCGGTACGGTAAGGAACGACGGCACGGCGGCAGACCACGGCAGCGAATGGCGGAGCATTGGGCGGCGGGAAAACGGCTGAGCGGGGGGACCTACGAAGGTCCTACATCTCTTTATCACAAACCTGGTTATTGAGAAGAAAATACCTCGTATGTCTGGCCCGCTGGGTGCGCTTCTTAGCTCCCCGGCCCTGGATGTGCGGCTAATGACTGCACTCCAATAAGTGCTCCAAGTGCTCGTATGGCGCTGCGCGCTGGTCTATGAGAGGTTGAGTGACCGCTCTCTGGAGCGGCCGCGTGGCAGTGCTTGGCGCAGGCGTCACGGGCGGCAAATGTGGAGCCGCTGGAAGAGCCAGTGCGAGCCGTTCACGGCAGCCGCTCCCCACGTCGCCGAGAGAGGCTGCGTGCGGGAGAGGGTTCAGGAGGCCACGCCCACGGACGCATCGGAGAAGCTGCGCAGCGGCGCAGCAGCCAGTAAGGGTATTTGAGAATCCCCAGCCTCCCTCCCTCCTAGTCACAACCTCAATCTCTTGACTCTACAACACGAAATGCTGCAATCGGGGTTCGCACTTGGAGCACTTGGAGTGCAGTTGGCAGCCTCACATCCAGGGCCGGGGAGCTAAGAAGCGCACCCAGCGGGCCGGATGATCGGGATCGGGTTGCGGGCAAGAGAGCCTACCTAGCCCCGGGGGTGCGCGTTCGCAGGGAAAGGGCCTTAAAGTAAACACGGGTCCCCGAGGGTTGGCTCTGGGCTCCGGGTTTCCCCTAGCAGCGGAACGCCCCCTCTACTCGGGGCTAGTAGACACCAGACACTAGCACGACAACACACACATTCCTCACTGACATCACCGCTCGGAACCCCCCCGCTCCGCGCGCACGGTCTCCTCACCCCCCCTCCGAGGGGGGGCCTCCCTCCCCTCGGTCCTCCCTCCTGTTCGCCTTCCGATGGTTACGCGATGACTGTGGGGCCCGACCTCCCCTCCTAGCCTTCTTTGGCCGCGGCCCCGCGGCCCCGCCACCGTTTCGTCCTCTCTGCCTGATCCCGCTGACTCCGCCTCCGGCGACCCCGCTCCCGACCCCCTGGGCGAGGACGGTGGCATTGGGTCGCGCCCAGTTCCACCCCAGGGAGGTCGAGCCCGCTCTCCCTGGTCGGCGAGTCGTGCCCGCACCCGCGGCCTCTCTATCGTCCTTGGCTCGCCCCCCCCCTCCGCCGGCTCCTCTTCAGGCTTGGATCGGCGGGGGCGTGGATCGGCGGGGGCGTGGATCGGCGGGCGTGGATCGGCGAGGGCGTGGATCGGCGAGGGCGTAGGCGCTCGAACTCACAGCCACTTGTAACATGCACCCTCCCTACGTCTAGCTTCCCCCCTCCCACCCTATTCAACCAAATAGCCACCAATGTAAGGTGGGGTGCCTTCAGGGTCAAAAAGAAATGAAACCAACAAATGGGCGTATGGACCCGCTCGGAATAACCTGGGGGACCCGGAACCGCCCCGCCGGAGGCTGGTGTACCCGGGAGGAGGAGCTGGGGGAGGGGAGTTGCCGCAGTACGATAGCGGACCCGCCGGCGAGCCGGAGGGCCGTGGCCGGAGGGCCCCAGGGGGGGCTTGGGGTCAGCGGTCGGAGGAGGTGAGAGATGAGCTGACGCGGCCTCTGCGAGTGGAGTCGGGACGTAAGAGCTCACCGGGGGAAGGCCCGTCGCAGTGGCAACCGGATCACCGCGACCTTCGACAGGGAGGGCCACGCCTCCCCGAGCCTGAAGAGGAGCCGGCGGAGGGGGGGGGCGAGCCAAGGACGATAGAGAGGCCGCGGGTGCGGGCACGACTCGCCGACCAGGGAGAGCGGGCTCGACCTCCCTGGGGTGGAACTGGGCGCGACCCAATGCCACCGTCCTCGCCCAGGGGGTCGGGAGCGGGGTCGCCGGAGGCGGAGTCAGCGGGATCAGGCAGAGAGGACGAAACGGTGGCGGGGCCGCGGGGCCGCGGCCAAAGAAGGCTAGGAGGGGAGGTCGGGCCCCACAGTCATCGCGTAACCATCGGAAGGCGAACAGGAGGGAGGACCGAGGGGAGGGAGGCCCCCCCTCGGAGGGGGGGTGAGGAGACCGTGCGCGCGGAGCGGGGGGGTTCCGAGCGGTGATGTCAGTGAGGAATGTGTGTGTTGTCGTGCTAGTGTCTGGTGTCTACTAGCCCCGAGTAGAGGGGGCGTTCCGCTGCTAGGGGAAACCCGGAGCCCAGAGCCAACCCTCGGG